TTAGAATCTCCTCCAGGCTCCTTCTGCTGATGCAGAGCTATTCCTGGGAAAGGGAAGAGGCTTGCGACAAGGGCTGGTCCCTCACCCTTCCGCATCCTCCATGCAGCAAAGTGGGAACCTTCTTGTCTCTGGCATCCCACAGGCATTTGTATGAGCTGCAGGAGCACCACCCACTCCAGTCACAAGAAGGGCGGGCAGTGAGGATGCTACAGGAGCTTAAAATCACAGCCAACTCACACTGAGATCAGGAAGACACTACCACACAGCCTCCAGCCCTGCAGACCTGGGGCTGCTCTTCACTACGCAGACATCCTCCACCTTAACCCATCTCTGTGCAGCGATTTTGGCCGTAAGTCCTGACTGGGACCCCGAGCAGCAGGATGATGTGGCAACAGGGTCAGAATGGCTTCTCCTGGCACCAGGCTCACCGACATTACGTGCCCCCAGCCCGGAGCCAGGCCAGAGCTGCCCTTACCTGAGGAGCTTGTAGTAGAGGAAGCGGAACGCCTCCTGCAGCAACACGGAGAACATCACCCCGAAGATCAGGAGCCCTTTCTGCAGTGGCTCATCACGTGGGTCGCTAGCCTTCACAGCAATGAACCAGATGAGGGAGGAGAGCAGCAGTGAGACTAGCCAGAAAAATGCCCTAGGGAGGTGGGAAACAGCAGCTGAGCTGTGTGGGCACCAGCACAGAGCCATGGTGGGGCTCAGTCCCTGCTGCAGGAGGGCTAGCACCAGTCCTGCAGTGCCGCTGGCTCCCATGCTCCTACAGACCCCGTCCCTGCCGTGCCACAGCTATAGTGGCACCAGTGCAGTGGTTGAGCAGACACTGGCACCAGTATGAGTAGTGGTACTGGTGGTGCTTTCGTGCTCACAAGGTGCCCACCAGCACCCAGAGTGGTGCTCAGGCACCTGAACCAGCACTAGTACTGTGCCAGCCCCCTGCATGCACTGCTATCAGTGCCATAGTGGTGTCCAGGCACCAGATTGGTGCCCTGGCACCAAACTGGTGCTCCACCACCCCCACACTGGTAACGCTACAGTACTGCTGCCGTGACATCTCTGCACTGGTACCAGAGCCATAGTGGTGCCTGAGCTCCCCGCAATGGTACCAGTCCCATACTGGAGTCCCAGTACCAGAGCCGGTACCACACCAGCGCCTCACGTCCCCCCCGGTACAGCTCCTATAGAGACGCCCCGATGTCACCGTACTGGTACCACCCCCACACCAGTGCCCTATGTCCCCCATCCCTGTACCACTCCCATCCCGGTGCCACGATGCTCCCGTACCGGTACCAGTGCCACAGCACCGTACCGTGCCCCGACATTCCCCAGCCCCGCACTGACCCCGCGATGAGGATGATGATGCGGAGGGGGTCGCGGGCGATGGTGAAGAGAAAGAGGCTGAACGCGGGCCCGAAGGCGATGAAGGTACACCCGAAAAAAACGGCGAGCGTCATGGCGGCGGGGCGCGTGGTACGGGGGTGGGGCTGCGGCGGGACGGGACGGGGCCCGATGGGGCCCGGCGGCGGCGGCGGCTGCTCCCGGCCCGCGCCCTTCCGGGGCCGCCTGACGTCACACGCCGCGGCGCACCGCCGCCCGGGCCGGAAGAGGCGGGCGGGCAGGGAGGGGGGAAAATGGGCGTGACCACCCGAGGGGGGCGTGGTTTGCGAGTGGGCGTGACTGGGTGCGGTCTGACTAAGGGGGCGGGGCGGAGCTTCGGAGTGGGAGGGGTCAGAGCTGTGGGCGGGGCCTGATGGGGGCGGGGCCTCCCGGGAAGGGAGGATGCCGTCATGGCGTTGTGCTTTGGCGTGGCCGCCAGCGTGGGCGAGTTGAGTGCAGTGCTGCGGCTGGGGCAGAGCAAAACCGCACAACTGCACGGGCTGGGCGGAGAGTGGGCAGAGCAGCCGAGTGGTCTGGGGCTCAACACGAACTGACGTGAGTTCTTGTGGCCCAGAAAGCCAGCAGCATCTTTGGCTGTCAGCAGGGGGGGCAGCAGAGAGATGGAGGTGCCTGTCCCCTCTGCTCTGCCGTGCTCCGCTCTGCTCTCCTTTCATGAGGCCCCATCTGCAGTATTGCGTCCAGGGCGGGGGCCCCCGGCGCAGGAGGGATGCAGAGCTGTGGGAGCAGGTCCAGAGGAGGGCACAGGGACAGTCACAGAATCGTGTGAGTTGGAAGGGATCTTCAAAGGTCATCCGGTCCAACTTCCCTGCAGTGACCAGGGACACCCGCAACACCCATCAAGTGCTCAGAGCCCCCACTCTGACCTTGGGTGGCTCCAGAGATGGGGCATCCACCACCTCTCTGGACTACCTGTGCCAGTGCCTCACCACCCTGAATATGAAAATCTTCCTTATATCCAATATAGATCTCCCTTCTTTCAGTTTGAAGCCATTTCTCCTGTCCTATCACTACAGAGTCTGTCCTCTCTTAGATACAGACAGGCCGCCCTCAGCTCTCGCTCAGCCTCCTCTTGCCCAGGCTGCACAGCCCCAGCTCTCAGCCCGTCCTCACAGGGAGCTGCTCCATCCTGACCATTCGTGCGGCCCTCCTCTGGACGCTCTCCAGCAGGCCCCCGTCTCTGCTGTGCTGAGCACTCCAGCTGTGGACGCGGCGCTCCAGGTGCGGTGTCACAGCGCAGAGCAGAGGGGCAGGATCCCCTCCCTCGCCCCGCTGGCCGCGCTGCTTTGGGTCTTGCAGTGAGTTTCTTATCCATCAAACAGTCCACCCATCAAATCCACATCTTTCCAATTTGGAAAGAGGGTTGTTGTGGAGAACTGTAATGGAGATGAAATACCTATCCTATGAAGAAAGGCTGAGGGAGTTGGGAGCTATGAAGAAAGGCTGGGGATGTTCAGCCTGGAGGAGAGAAGGCCCCAGGGAGTCCTTATTGCAGCCTTCCAATGTTCGTAAATAGGAGAGTGACCAAACTTTTTCTATGGGCAGACAGTGATAAGAAAGAAGGAATGACTTTAAAAGAGGAGGGATCCAGATTGGATGCTGGGGACATTTTTCATTGACAGGGAGGTGAGGTGCTGTCACTGCTGCCCAGAGAGCTGTGGTGCCCCATGCCTGGACGTGCTCAAGACCAGGTTGGAATGTGGCCCTGGGCAGCCTGAGCTGGTGGAGGCAACCAGCCCGTGGCAGGGTGGTGTGGCACGGATGTGGCTCCCAGCTGACTCTTGGCCAGCACCAGCCTCCTGGTGCTTTTCCTTCTTGAAGAAAAAAAGGGAGCAGAGGGTGAGTGAAAAGCAGAACTGGGGATCAGCTGGTGGTCATAGGCAGAGCATTACTCTGGGAGCAGCTTCCACGGCCTTGCAGAAATTGAGAGTTTAGAGATGAAGAAGAAGGATCTGGCATAGGGATGTAAATGGTTAAATGGACCGACCCAATCCAGGAGGCTGGAATGGGGAAAATCACTGGGTGTGAAAGAGCTCTTTGTCCCAGCAGGAAGGGACGCCCAGAGACTGAGTGGTGGGGACGCACCCTGATAGGAAGTCTGGGCAGGCTTGTTTGCAGGATAGGGTGCTGCTCACAGGGAAAGGCTGTGGTTTTGACTTGCTCTTTTACAGCAAGACAAATCCATTTCAGGAAGGTGCTTTTACCTAACACCACTCAACACAGTGATGTACTGTAGGGAAGCAAGGCAGACCCAAAGAAAAACTCCAATCCTTGCACAGGACAGGCTCTGCTAGGAGAGCAATGTCTCCCTTCCAGCACATCCTGGGATGCCACAACCCAATCAGGAACAAGCACCAAGACGGGGAATGGAGAGTCCCTGTGTGAAAGATGCCTTTTGTGCATTGCCAGATGCAATTCAGAGTTGCAAATATGATTTGGAGACCATGAGGAGGGCAGGAAGCCAGCTGTACCTGGGTAGGAAAGAACTTGTGTCTCCGCCTTTCTTCTGTGAGCCAGGAGGCACAGCAAATAAAGGAAAGTGGATGGGAAAGCTCTCCCTGTTGCTTGCTAGGTTGATGGCTTAGCCCAGCAAGGGGTCAGCATGAATTATGCTTCCTGGCCACATAAGGCTATGCAGTCAAAGGGATATCCGCCAAACAGCGTGAGACAGCTGGGCTCCATGCAAGCCACAGGGGGCCCAAAGCAGAGGGCTGGACTGGATGATGGCTTTGGGCATCCCCAGGGAGTCCACCCCCATTTGGTGACAGCGATGAGATACATCCTGCTGCTCTTCTCTTTGTGTTGGAGAAATTACAACAGAGTGGGAAGAAACTTCCTGAACGCTCTAGGAATTGGTTGCCTGCTGTATTAATACTTGCTAGTTTATATAGCTGTCCCTTAGGCAGGCGTACAGATGTACAGGCGTACAGTTACTGAGCTGGGTGAGATGGGTGTGTGTATGTGCACATGCACTTGTACACGTACCCGTGTGGCACTGTTTGCATGGGTCATGAAGCAGAGTCAATAGGAGAGAGCCAAGGATCCTGTGGCTTCCCCAAGTGCCAGGCAGATAATGTACTGGGGTAGAAGGGGACAGGCTGGTGACATATCTCTGTCACTGTGTGCTTGAGGAGGATGCTAAGTTTGGATTGCCCTTGAGACTGAGGTTTCCTGTGCATCCTAAGGAACTCCTATCACTCCCATCCAAACTGCTCCTGCTACATCACAAGGTCCCTGCAGAGGTCTCAATGCCCATTCCCACCCACAAGGACCATTCACACCCATCCTTCTTGTTAAACTGCTTTAATATTTGGACATGAAGACAGGACAAAGCCATTCAGGCTGTGCACAGACAAGACGCCCCCGAGCCATGGTGCAAGGCTGCAGGGTTTCCCTTCTCAATGGATGTGTGGATTTGGCCAAAATGCAGTTCAGCTGGTGACGTCCTGAGCGTGCCAGTGGGGTGCACGTGTGGGATAGGGAAGGGGGATGAGGGCTCCCCAGGCAGCTCAGAGGTTGTTTAGCTCCAGCAAGGTCTGGTCCAGGACCTGGTGTATCCCCACATTCTCCTCTTTGGCACTGGCCAGACTCTCTGTGAACACAAGGGACACCCAGCCACACAGCAAGATGCACACGCAGACACAGCACAAGCATATCCAGGCACAGCCAGACCCACGCACACCACACCAAGCACAAACACACGCACACAGAAGACATCTCAGTGTGGTGCCAGCAGGGATGTGCCCAGACCGTCTGGGACCCCCAGGGACAGGTGGTCCCTGCTCTTTATCTTCTCCATCCTCCCACAGTGCCCAGTTGCCCATGGACAGCCCTTCTGTGGCATGGGCACTGCTGACAGGTACTACTCCAGCCAGCCATCATCACATCCCCATCTCCCCATCCTGCCATCACCACCAGCCACAATGGGCACGTGCACAAACCCTTGGCTGCAAAAGAGGAGAGCCAGCGCCTGCTGCACGAGCCACGTGCTCCGTGAAGAAGAGGAGTGAGACAGCAGCCCAGAAAGTCAGGCGGAGAAGACAGCAGAGAAGGAGCAGAACTAATGAGGCTGCAGGGATGAGCTCACTGCTGGGGCAGCCTCCTTCAACGCTCGCTTGCAGATGGTATCCTCCTTCCGTGAGAGGTGGGGATGGGGCAAGGGTTCTGCCCACTCTGCTGCAAGGGCATCCTGCTGTGAGGGATCCCCCTGCTCAGTTTCGAGTGACCAGAGGGATAGGAAAGAGTTGGCTGCCTGGGGAAGGGGAGGAAGGCAGATACACAAGGCACTGTGTCCCTCCCCAGTGGGGCCAGGCTGATGCCAGGGGACAGCCACCATCTGATGGACATTCTGGGGCATGGCGAAAGCTCTCATCCCTCCCCCAGGATAATCCCATCAGCTCCACAGGGCTTTCCCATACCACTGAGCAGGGCAGTCACCCAAGGGGGGAGCGGGCAGGGCTCACAGCCTCAAGCCAGCCTGGTCAAAATGGGGTGGGAAACAGCTGGGGCTGGGGGCATCCCAGGGGCTGGGGCAGGAGCTGTCGCAGCTCAGTTGTTAAGTTCGGTAAGGATGACCCGCAGCTCGTTAGTGAGAACCCGGTTTTTCTCGGCCTCCTGCCGGGAGCGCTCTAGAGAAAACAGAGACATCAGCGCAGCAGTGGGAAGAGAAAGAGAAAGGAGAGTTAGCAAAGGGACAGCACTGCCCACGAGAGCCTTCACTGGGCACCCCATGGCTGCTTGGGGGGCAGTAGGGGAAGCAGAAGGAGGAGGCAGCCAGTCATAGGGCTGCTGGTCCATCAATTCCGTGGCTGTGGGGTAGGGTGGAATGCTCAGGGAGGACTGGGACCAGAAATCACCACGGACAGCCCCTACGGCCAGGGAGGGTGGTGGAAGACAGATGCCAGTCATTGCTGAGAGGATGTTGTGATGTCTGGGAGCACAGATGAGGAATGGACAGACCAGGTCTAGCCCTATGAATTTAGGCTGAAAGAGTCACGGAGGTGGGGTCTGGAAGGTGGCACAAAATGAGGAAAGCTGTGTCCGAGAGCCAGGGGTGGTGGGGACACAGCTGTGCTGGGGTCCCTGAGACCACCCCTGGCTGCCGGCACCTGCATGAGATGGCAGGAAATGAAGGATGAGCGTGGAGAACCAGAGCAGCATGAAGAAAACAAAGGAGAAACCAAGGAGAGAAAACGCTTTATTGAGACCAACTCAGTAACCCAGAGGGACAGAACAGAAAAGAAAAAGTCATGAAATGCAAAATGCAAACTGAAAAGCAATGTGCAAAGGACAGAGGCAAGGCAGGGAGGGGAGCGCGGGTGGTGGGGGTGTCTGCCTGGGACCAGGACCACCCCCCTCCATCCCATATCCCCCCTGGCATGCAGCACCAGGATGGCTGCGCTGGAGGGGCAAGTCCCTAGTGCTTGTGCTGCTGGGGGGAAATGCGGGACACAAGGCCCCTGGGCATAGCTCCATCCTCCCACATCCCCGTGGGGTGTGGGGTCCCGGGGATGCACCCCTTCCCCTTTAACACCCCATAGCGCCTACACCTCATCTTGTGGGAACACAGAATTAATAGAATCACAGCATGGCTGGGGTTGGAAGAGAACTTAAAGAAGAGGGTTGGAAGAGACCCTGCCATGGGCAGGGGTGGCACCTGCTATGAATACCCCAGGCCGACTCCTGTTGACCAGTGGCCATGGGGCAGGAAGGACAGAGAGGGGACAGAGTAGGGACAGAGTGGGCAGTAGGAGTGGAGAGGGTGCCGGGCAGGCAAAATGGCAGAGCTGGGGGGGGAGGAAGGCAGGCAGGGGTGCAGTGCTGGTGCCCAGTGTGGGGTTCAGAGGGAGGTGATGTCATTAAGCGCATTGTCCAGCTCCTCGCTGATGGCTTTGTACTTCATCTTCTGTGCATATACTTCGTCTGCAGGTGGGGGGAGTGGGGAGCAGGTGGTGGAGCAGGGAGGGAGTGAGTGGCAGAGAGAGAGAGAGTGGCGGTGAGCAGGAGGCAAGGGTGGTGGGAGCATGCAGGTACGGCACCGGGCACAAGACAGTGTGGATGAGGCCATATTTCCCATGTGGGACTCCAGCACCTCCACAGCATCCCAGCTTCCCCCCTCCCATCACCCATGCCCACCCCCAGCACAAGGAGACCCCATCCCTGCCTGCCCATGAAAGAGGGACACACGGCAGCGAGGACCCTTTTACCTTCTAAGTCATCAATGGTTTTCTCCAGCTTTGCCACAGACCGCTCAGCAAATTCTGCCCTGGTCTCAGCCTGCAGGAACACAGCAAGAACAGTGAGCGTGATGGGAATGCCCTTAAGTCCACACCCCAAACATGCTCTGTTCCCCAGAACTGTCCCATTTGCTGCACCTGGGCTGGTGACCATCTCAATTTGCCTCCAAGGCAGAGGGGTGAGATGTTATTTTGCTGCTGCCAGTGCATGTCCCGGGAGCAGAGCATCGTGCATCCAAGAGCCTTACCTCCTTCAGTTTCTCCCCTAGAAGCTTGATTTCCTCCTCATACTTGTCCTCCTTGGTGGAATACTGCAGGGACAGAGAGGATCTTAGCTCCAGAGGACATCTCCAGTTCTTCACCCCAATCAGGGACCCTCCTCCCCTCAACCCTGCACACTCTGCCCAGCCCCAGCAGCCCCACTAGGTCATACCTTGTCAGCCTGGGCCTCCAGAGACTTCAAGTTGTTGGTGACAATTTTCAGCTCCTCCTCTAGGTCACCACATTTACTACATCCCAAGCAGGGGCCACCAGGCAGGGGAGGGGGTGGTGAAGGGGAGAAGGGGGGAGCGGAAGGAGCATGGGGAAGGAGGAAAGGAGAGAGAACAAGTTGAGAGAAGAGAAAACTCAGTGGAGGAGCAGCAGAGCCACTGGGCACATATCCCTTCCTCGCATGTCACTGCTGTACTCCTGCATCCATCTGAGGAGGAGGAGAGTGGACATGGAGGAGCATGTGCTGCCCACAGAGGGACAGGCGAGGTGAGGGCTGTGGCAGCAGTGCAGAGAGGAGAGAGGTGGCCGGCGTGGCTCAAGAGACAGCGATAGAGAGAGGGGGGCTGCTGCATCTTGCCCCACACCCCTGCCCCAGTACCTCTTCCTCTGAGGCAATGAGGGATTTGAGGCTCTGGTCCATGGTCCGCAGCTCCTCCTCCAGCTGTCTCACTCGACTGGGGTGGAAAAGGGGCACCCACAGATTGGGGCCAGCAGAGAACAGGTCAAGGATGTGCCGGGGGCCAGCATCGTTCCTCCCTCCTCCCACCTAATGGGTGACTGGGATGGAGATCCCTGTCCCCATGTCGACACACGGACATGTCCGCAGCTCCCATGGGCAAGAGAATGGGACAGGGGTGGTATGAGAGCCTCATGTGCCTGAAGCCCTGCTCACCTCTCCGCCACCTCTGCCCGCTCCTCCGAGCGCTCCAGCTCTCCCTCAAGGACCACCAGCTTGCGGGCCACCTGTTGGGGACATCCAGAGGAACATGTCAGGTTGGATATTAGGAAAAATGTCTTCTAAGAGTGGTGATTCACTGGCACAGGCTGACCAAGGAGATGGTGGAGTCACCGTCCCTGAAGGTGTTCAAGAACCATGGGAAGTGGTTAGTGGGCTTGGTGGGAATGGTTCGGGGTTGGATTGGATGATCTTAGAGGTCTTCTCCAAACTTCATGATTCTAGGAGGCCATATCAAATGCAGACTAGGAAGCAGGGCTGCAGGGCACTGCCTTTGATGAAACCAGGGATCAGGGGACACAGGTGGTGGCACACACCTCCTCATATTTGCGGTCGGCCTCTTCCGCTATGTGCTTGGCCTCCTTCAGCTGCATTTCCTGGAGTTCCATTTTCTCCTCATCCTTCATGGCCCTGTTTTCAATGACCTTCATGCCTCTGAGGAAAGTCAGAACAAGTAGGTTAGGAAGAATTTATTCATGGAGAGGGTGGCCAAGGATTGAGCTGCCCAGGGAGGTTGGTGGAGTCCCCATCCCTGGAAGTGTTTAAGAGATGTGAGGACTTGGCACTAAGGGATATGGATTAATGACGGATCTCAGTAGGTTGGGTTGGTGATTGGGCTAGATGATCCTCAAGATCTTTTCCAGTCCACACGATTCTGTGATTCTATGAGGTTATGGCTGTAGGTGGAGGTGGTACCTGCATCTCCTTCCTGCCCGCTGTACTCTGATGTGTCCATCCTCACGCTCCAGAGACACAGTGCATTGCCAAGGAACACAGGCACCCTGTGCAGTAGGGTCACATCAGCAGTACCCTGGGGATGCACAGCTGAACCAGCAGAGATGCCCCATGGCAACCCAGGAGATGTGCCTCTCAGCCAGGCAGGTCAAACTGATCTTTGCCAGTGGAGGCAAACGGCCAGCTGCAAATTGTTCATTGCCACCTGCCCAAAAGGCATTGATATGTCTGCCCTCGCTTGCATGGCTCCTGCACAGGAAATGTGTGTGCTGCAAGCAGGTACTTCACCAGAGGGTGAGCAATGCCCCGTGTGTGTTCTGCAGCCCTCTTCAGGATGCTACTGCTTCATTCCCAGGGGCCAACCTCAGCTTCTGGGCTACTGCTCAACCCTCAGAATCACAGAATCACAGAATGGCCAGGGTTGGAAGGGACCCTAAGGATCATGAATCTCCAACCCCCCTGCCAAATGCAGGGCCATCAACCTTCCCATGGGGCACAAAACCAGTTCTGAGAGAACCCTCTGGCTCCAGGCACAGCTTAATAATTTGTACGGGCATCAGATCAAATTGTTAGGGATTTAATGTGTGCCCTGAAAATTTCAAAGCGTGCCACAAATGCCCGTAGCAAAGGGGGCATTTTTCCCTACAGAAAAAACAATGCAAACTCCCATGGGGTCAACTCAAGGGCTCCCCAAGCCCTGCTGCAAAGCCAAGGGATTGTCTGCTATCATGGACAATCCAAAGCTAACCCCTGTTGTCCGCCACTCCCCCCCAACCCTGTCACACCTCTCGCTCTCATCTGCCGCCTTCTCAGCCTCTTCCAGCTTCTGCAGGGCGGTGGCCAGGCGCTCCTGGGCCCGGTCCAGCTCCTCCTCCACCAGCTGGATGCGGCGGTTCAGAGAAGCCACCTCAGCCTCAGCCTGTGGAGCAGAAACCTCTTGGTCACCACATGGCACACAGACATGTATGTAGCACTGTCAGGAGTTATTTTAGCTGGGACACCCCTTTGCACAGTGCACCAATCACTTCTGACCCACTCTGACACTTTGCAGCCCCATCACTCTCCGCAGTGACATGGGGTTCCTCCATCCCTAACATTGTGCTTGATGCCAGCTGCTCCTTAACATGTGTGCACTGTGCCCAAACCCAATTCTCGCACCCCCTGCCCAGGAGACAGAAGAAATGCTCTCAATGGGTACTCAGGGCTGTGCCTTCCCCAGGCCAGCATTGGGGTTTTGCAGAGCAGTGAGTAAAGGAGGAGGAATGCCTTGAGCTGATCCGCTCCCGAAAAGGATACGGGAGCCACTTGTCGATTTCCTGTTTACGGAGGCAGTGTAGAAAACCGGCCCCATAGAGCCGAGCCCCCTCTTGGGGTCACGCGGAGTCCCCCTGCACTGCACAGCCGACTCACACAGCCCGGCCGCGGGGCGATGGTGCGAGCCGCCCTCGGACCAATGGCGCCCGGCCAACCTCGCACCGCAGGGGCCGGAGGGAGTTGGGGCCCCCCGCGTTCCCATGCTCCCCTTGCGCCGACGGGGCGGGCAGCCAGAGCCGGCCGGGAGCGGTGGCTCTGGCCCCCCGCCAGTCCCCGGTCGCCTGGCCCCGTTCTCTTTCCATTCTCTAAAGCTTCCCTGCTTCATCACAGCCGGGAAACGCTGCCTCAGCAGCTCCCGACCCCGCGGCGGGGACAAAAAACCCAAAACTCAAAGGGATGGGCTGCGGTGGGAGCGCCCTGCTTCATCGCCGGTACGTGGGACAGAACGAGCGGGGATGCCCGAAACAGAGGTCCCGGTCATATGTTCAGCCTCACCTCGGCGTGAGCTTTTTCCCAGGGAATGACCCCCGAAGTGGGTCAGCGCTGCCCGAATGGGCGCTCGGGAACATGAGCTGCTGAGAGGGGAACCCGATCTGCGGCTGCAGGAAGGGGCCGCTTCCTCTGCCCGCGACAACGGCGAGGGTACCGCACCCAGCTCTGCCGGCCCCGATAGCGGGAGGATGCTGGAGCCGGGGGAGGGCAGCGGAAAAAGAGACAAAAAACCTCCCCACAACAACAGCACGAAGCCAAACCGGGAACGACCCGCAGCCTGTAAAAGCCACAGAGCGGAAACATTGGCCTGTGCCAGCGCGCAAGGATGGTTTATCCCTACGACGGGGTGCAGAGGGCTCTGCGGCCGCTCCCGAACCAGGCAGCAGCCGCTCGGGCGTGGGGAGCTGGGCCGCGATGTGGGGCCGTTCCCGAGCTGAGCAACCCCGCGAGGCCCCGGCAGCGGGGAGCTGCCCGCAGCCCCCGCCCCGCACCGGCACCCGCGGGGGGCTCACCAACGCCCACCGGGACGCGCGGCCCAGCAGCTCGCCCGTGCCCCTCGCTCCCAGGTGCGCGACCCCGAGGGGCGGCGCCGCCCCAGTCTGGGGGTCGCGAGGTGCCCCCAGGAGCCTTACCCGCTCCCGGGCCTGCCGCTCGGCATCGGCCTCCCGCTGCAGGTGCTCGGCGCGTTCCTCCGCCTCGTCGGCCACCTGCTGCAGGCTCTGGATCTTCTTCTTGACGGCGTCGATGGAGCTGATGCCGGCCATGGCCGTGCGGCCGGCGGGGAGCGCAGCGAGGCCGCTCCGCTGAGCCCTTTGTGGGATCCGCCTGGCTCGGGCAGGAAGCGCTCAGGCGGCGGCCGCTCCCGCCCTGCCTCCATCCCTTCCTGCTCCTCCTCCTCCTCCTCCTCCTCCTGCCGCACACCGACCCGCTCCCGCTGCGCTCCCTGCGCTGAGCGCATGTAGCCCCCGATAAGGACGCAGGCAGGATTAGGATTAGGGATTAGGGATGCAGCTCCCCCAAAGCAGGGCACAGAGTGCCCCCCAGCAGGGCTGCATGCCCCAGCCGAGCCTCCGCAGGCAGAGGGGAAGGCGGTCGGGGTGCTTGTTTTCCTGGGAGGAAAAGGGGCAGCAGAGGCTGTGAGCCCCTCTGCGTAGAGTGTATCCAGGGGTGCTCCCCAGAATCTCCACACATGTGCTACAGAGACGGGAGGCACGGACTTTTGTCCCACAGGTGAAGCAATGAGAGGGATGGGGATGCTCTTGGGCATCCCCTGGGTACAGTCCTTGGCCACACAAAGGCCCCCAGGGCTGATGCTCCAGGGTACAGGCATATCCAGCTCTGCACCCCAGCCACAGCACTTGCTTGGGTCCGTCAGAAGGGCAAGGTGTGGTGGCATTCAATTCTCCGTCAAGGACCTCTGTGAGCTGCCGGGCAGCCCCAGCCACACTTTATGCCTGCTTCCAGGGATGCCATTTCCCAGGATCTGGGGCTTCCCTGGAGAGGCAGCATCTGGCCATGCCCCCGCAGCACCGAGTCCCAAGCCAGATGGCAGCAGTGTGGCAGCACATGGCTTTGGGCTTGGCCCTAGTCCCAGCTTCATGCTTGGGCACAGATCAGGGCATGGGGTGCAGGGCAGAAGGGGAGTCTCAAGAGTAAAGGGAGCAGGCTGGGGGCAGGCACCCTGGTCCCATATCGGCCAGAGCAGGGTGCCTCCTGCTCTGGCCCCACCCAGGGATGCAGTCACTTCCCAGCAGCGCCCGTTCCCTCCCACCGGCTCAGGGAATCACCAAATAAGAGCAAAGTCTCAGCTTGGGAGAGCGCTGGGGCGGGAACTTGGGTGAAGCCTTGTGGGACCGTGGCCTGTGATCGTGGCCTGGGAACAGCAGAATGTGCGTGTCCCTGTGCTCGCAGTTCGCTGGGACAGGCCGATGGCCAGAGACAACACAGGGCTGGAGGGGGACGTACCCTGCTCCAACCACCACGCTGTCCTCACGGGATGCCTCTTTGGGAGACAAGGAGGGAATGGGGCTGCAGTGACCTTGCTCCGCACTGCCAGCACTCTGATAATCAGTGGCTACGAGAGCAGCCTGTCCCCAAGCCCTGTGTCTGGGGCATCCTGCACCCAGCTCACCCCATCCTGCATGAACCTGCTCAGAGCAGCACAGAACCACACACAGCACAGTTGCCCTCTGGACAAGATAAACAAACTCTTCCAGGGAATTCCCACTGCTTTGACAACTTGGTCAGCCTTAAGGCAGCCTGACTTTGGGCAGCCTCAAGCGTTGGGAATCGATGCCAGAACCTTTCTCAGGACAAACTTGTAAAACCCCTACAAACGCAGCCTGGCACTGGGGCCACTGGCATCCAATGAGGCTCACGGCCTGCTCTGCCCGCATCCCTGACCTGGCAACCCCTGTTCCCCTGTAGGCTGGGGTCCCAGTGGGGGACATGGGCACCTCCAAGGACTTTGCTGTCGTTGTCTGTCCTCATCTGCTCTCCCTTGTCCTTGGCGGCCACCTTGGACTTTTGACGCATCTCCCCCATTTAGCTCCATAAACCCGCCAGGATTGAATTTTTGTTCTCAATCCTAAAAAGCCTGGCTATGCCCCTGCTGGCCATGCTCCAGACAGCTCCCCTTCAGCTTCTCCTCCAGTTTCCAGGGTTGGTTTTCATCAGAGAAGGACTGGCTATCAAAAGGAGCATTTATTTATAGGGTGCCAAATACCCCGTGTGGCACTGCGGGTTGTTATGCCCAGTTCCTAAACAGGCTCAAGCCATGCACAGCTGTTCCACCCTTCATCTCAGCCAGGCGCAAGCCAATTTCAACACCTTCCTAACATCTCCCCACTGGGATCCATTTCCCAGGAGTAGCATCAGTCATGGCCCTAAATAAAACTCTTCCCAGCCTTTCCCTTCTCAGGGTACAGGGTGGCACGTTGAACCCCTAAAGGGCTGTCCCCATGCTCCCTGAGCATCCTTCCCAACCAGCGCTCAGTGCGGGCAAGAGTTTTCCTATTTCTCAGTTTCTTTTCCCATTTTTTTCTAACACGTTTTAGCAACTATTTCCAAGTTTTCCCTACATGTGCATGTCGGCGCAGTGGGGATGCTCATCCCTATGAGCTCTAGGGCACTGGGCCAAGTGATGCCCCGGTACCCTGGCACCTATATGGCATCCACAGCCAGAACGGGTCCGACACCCTTCCCACCAAGGCTGACCATATAAGGTTCCCCTCTTCCTTCACCCCCCCGGGGTCCAGTGCCTGCTCAGGGGAGGGGTTGCCTACGTACGTCCGTGGCTTTCTTCTCCGCCTGCTCCAGCTTCTCCTGGGCCTCCTTGACAGATTCAGAGTATTTCTCCACCTCATCTTCTGTGCCCTTCAGCTTCTTCTGCAGGCCCTGCTGTTCCTCCTCCAGCTGGGGAAGGGATAGAGCACGGGTGTCACGGGTGGTCACCCTGGAACACCCACCCAGCAAGAGGCAGCCATCCTCACCCTGCGGTGACCGAAGTCCATTTTGGGGCCCCAGGACTTCAGGGTTGGGGACAGGAGAAGTCCTGACATGGAGACACAGCTTTGGGGCACTGGGAAGGTCCCTGTCCATATGGCTGTGGTGGGAGTGCGTTGTCCCCCAGGACCCCGTGCAGAGGGGTAGGGAAGTGGCAATAGGGGGTCCCAGCAAGACATAGTGAGTTTGGGGATACTGAGGTCAGAAACAACAGGCACTGGTCCCCATGGTTGGACAGCCCCAGATTGGAGATCCCTAAGGTTGGACACCCAGCAGGACTACTTCCCTAAGACTGGCTATCTCCAAACTGGGGATCCCAGAGGTTAGAAACCCCTGAATTGTGGATCCTCAAGATTGGACACCCAGCAGGACAAGGTCCCAAAGGTTGGACAACCCTAGGATGGGGGGGTTCCCACGTTGGACACCCATTAGGGCAAGGACTCTAGGTCCAGACATCCCTAGACTGCGGGTCCTCAAGGGTTGTACACCCCTATAATGGGGGTGGCCAAGATCGAACACCCAGAGAAGCGGGATCCTCAGGGCCAGATCCCTTTAGGGCCGGGATTCCCAGCGCTTTTTTGGGGAAGGCTATGGGACACTCACCTGCTTGCAGCGATCCTCTGCCTGCTTCTTGTCAGCCTCCGCCTGCTCGGCACGGTCGATGGCATTCTCCTTGTCCAGTTTGAGCATCTGCATCTTCTTCTTGATGGCCTCCATGGTGGCGGTGGGGCGGCGGCAGCGGTGGGGCGCGAGGCGGCGGCGGTGGGGATCGGAGCACCGGGGGCAGCGGCAGCACCGGCACTGCGCCCACCGCCCCGCCGCGCCGCCTAAGAGCCGGGGAGGGGCCGCGCCGGGAGGGAGGGGGCCGCCCCGGGACCTCCCCCGCCGCCCGCCAGCACCTTTTAGGGACAGACTTCGCCGCAGTCCGCGGCACCGAGGGAGACGGGGGGGTCGGCACCCGGCGGGCAGCCCCGGCACCTGGCACCGAAGGGGCACCGGGAGAGGGGCGTAGCGGTGACACTGCGCTGGGGACACCAGGGTCTCTGCGGTGGGGGTGCCGTGGTGGCACGGTGCTGGGGACATCGGTGACAGCACTCTGGGGACGCCGCGAGGGGTCCGATTGAGGGGACACACTGCTGAGGGCGCTCCTGGTGGCACTTCCGCGGGAACACTGGCGGCGCTGAGCTTGAGGACACCCCGCTTTTACCCCTGTGCTGTTATTGTCACCTGGGGACACTGCTTGGTGACTCGCCGATGTCAGTGACCCACCTCTGTCCGCAAAGCTGTGCCTGAACGAGGGGACACCCTTTACTTTGTCACTGTGCCCTGGGGAAGGGGGACCCTGAGGGCTGGCGCTGCTCCTGGGGACACCCACAGCAGTCCTGGGGGTCCTGGGGTGCTGCAATGGCACTCGGACTCCTACAGGCTGTGACCACCTGGGGACACCCCATAGGCCAGCTCTGCTCCCTGGGGCAGAGGGACACTCCATCAGCTCCAAAAGGAGCAGGGGATGCCCAGAACCATCATGATACTGCTGTGCCCCAGGGTCCCCTGTGTTGTTTGTGTCTCTGTGCCTACAGCAGGACACGATTCTTCTGGCACTGCAGCCCCCCATATAGCCCCATAGCAAGGGTGCCCCACCAGCCTGGCACAGCTGGAGATTGGGGTCGTGGCCCTAAGCCAAACATAGCACCCCACTCCCAGAGCCAGCAGTGGGCACAGCGATGCTCTGTGGAGGTGGCCACAGTGAGACCCCTCTGTGCCACGCAGGCTCCTCCTAGCACAGCCACCCCAGGACCCTCCTCCGCACCGCCCCAGTGTCCTCTGTGAAAGGCCTGGCAGCAAAACACAACGGAAAAATCCTCTGGGACTGGAGAGAGCCAAGCACTGACCCCCCCTTCTCATCCCACTGCTGCGTCGCAGCACCAGCACCAGCACTGCCCCACGTTACCACCACTCCCGTGCCATCATCCCCAGCAGGAGGGCACCTCCAATGGGACAGTGTACCAGGGTGACTTGGGGCATGCAGGCTGCCTTGCTCCTTCTTTCTTCTCAAAATAAACCTTATTCTATAGGCCAAAAAAAAAAAAAAAAAGAGTAAACCCTTCTGATCCCAACTCCTCCAAAAATACCCCATGCTTGAATACCGCTCGTAAATGCTTCTGGTGCATTCCCAGCTGCAGGGTGGGTTTGGAGCTGGGGGGGTCAGAGGGGATGGGGTGGGATGGGATGGACGAGGTGAGGGACTGTGTGAGCTCCAAGGCCATCCCTTTGCACCCACATCCAGCAATGGGGCGCACACTTGACTTTTTGGCACAGAGGCGCA